CTGGGTAGGAATTTACATCACATATAATGGAATTGAGGATAATTACATTAAATAACAATTCACAAAATATAACCCAACCTAGTCATTAATGAGGCATGACTAGATTGGGTTATATTTTGTACCACAGCCTTACAGGAGAGTATGAATTAAATCACATTCTGACTCATGCTACTAACCCTACAAATTCACTTGAGAGATGCCTTACTAGACACAACCTTGAATGAATCACATATTCAATTTTACATGCAATGAAAGTGAGGGAAGGAAGAAGAGAGAAGGGACCCAGCTACCACTGAGAAAGAAGAGGTGGGACCCAAGAGTGTCCTTTGGACCCATAGTTCTTGCGCTGAGAACCCTCTCGACCCAAGGGAAAAATGATGCCAAGAAAATGGAGATCTGCCAGGAACACTGAGTCCATATTTGCTGAAAGGAGACAAAGATTCTCCTTGAGAGGTGACAGAGGGAGCCTGCCCCTAAAGCTGTTGCTTGAATTCAGATTTGTAAACTGCAAGCTAAAAAATGTTTGCTCATTGAAGATATCTACTTGTGGTATTTTTGTGATTGCAACACTAGATAATTAAGTTAGACAGACCATCATACTAAATTTGAAACCACATTCTATCCTTTGGACTTCTCAGATCCATTGGAAAAGTATGGTGAGGGGAAAACCTGCCAGAAGTAGGTTCATTGGATTAGGATTTTTATGATTCTGAATTAAGTACATAGCAGTGAGTTCTGAGTTTTGTGGGTGAGGCATTGGGTTGCCTAATGGTTCTAATGTACCAGGCATTTCAAAGGAGAAAGATAAACATCTGCGTGCTCATGTAAAGAGGGGCAGTCGTGGAGACCCTGCACAAGGTCACGATGAGTCAGAATCTACTTGATGTCTGTGTATTTGGTGATTACCTTGATGTTTTATTTGTATTCAAAGGTTAATTCTTCTTCAACGTGTGTTTTAATTCAGTAATGTACAACTTTGCAATGCCAGTGGCATAATGACATGCACACTGGAATGACATGACAACTTGTCTGTCAGCTTATCATACTGTGGTGATTTCTGTGTTGCTGTGATGCTGGAAGCTATGTCTCGGTATTTCAAAACCAGTAGGATCACCCAACATGAACAAGTATCAGCAGAGCTTACAGACTACGAACTAACTACAAAGAAGGAATAGGCTGTCCACCTCAGAGAAGTGAGCTATTGGAAATGCTATGAGCAGCATCCACACATTGTTAATTACTGCAAACCTCATGAATACAAGAAGACTGTTATCTGAAATAGTGCCACAAGATGAGGCACTCAAGTTGGAGGGCACTCAAAATATGACTGAGGAACAGCTGCCTTCTTAAAGGGCCAACCATCAAACATGAATGGAGTAAAGCTTGTGGGAGCAAAGCCCTCGGGATCTTCATTTGCTGATTGGGCACAACTCAAACTGAGATAAAACAACTGTAAATATCAATTAATAACCGGAACGTGGAATGTATGAAAGATGTATGTAGGGAATTTGGAGTTCATTCAAAATGAAATGGAATACATATACATAGATATTCTAGGCACTGGGGATATGAGATGGACTGGTATTGACCATTTTGAATGAGTAAATCACATGGCTTACTCTGCCAGGAATGACAGATTCAAGAGGAATGGTATTGCATTCATCATCAAAAAGAACATTTCAAGAGCTCACTTAAAGTACACTGCTGTCTGTGACAGAATTATATCTACCCACCTTCAAAGAAATAAAATCAATATAGCTATACAAATTTCGGCACCAAGCATTAATACTAGTGGAGCAGAAACTGAAAGATTCTACCGACATCTTCAGTCAAAATTGATCAAAAATGCAGTCAAGTTGTATTGATAAATATTGGCACTTGGAATGCAAAATTTGGAAACATAGAGTAAGGAACAATAGTTGGAAAATATGGTCTTGACGATAAAGCAAAGTTGGAGATTGCATAATAGAATTTCATAAGACCAATGACTTCTTCATAGCACGTACTTTGTCTTCCAAAACAAAAGGTTCCTATACATTTGGGCTTCTCCAGATACAATACACAGAAATCAAATTTTCTATATCTGTGGGGAAAGATGATGGAGAAACTCAGTATCAGAAGCTAAAAAAAATGGTAAGGACTGACAATGGAACAGACCATCAATTGCTCATAGTAAGTTTTAAGCTTAAGTTGTAGAAAATGAAAAAAGGGTTAACTGAAGTCAAAATATAACCTTGAGAATATTCTACTTGAATATTTCAAGAATACCTCAAGAACAGATTTGATACATTAAACACCAGTGGTAAAAACCTGATGGGCTGAGATGACATCAAGAACATCTTACATGAAGAAAGCAAAAGGGGCACTAAAAAGACGGTAAGAGAGAAAGTTTCAAAGTTGGAGTCAGAAGAAACTCTTAAACTTGCTCTTAATCATACAAGAACTAAGGCAAATAGAAGAAATGCTAAAGTTAAGAGAGTAGAATAGAAACCTTTAAAGAGCAGTTCAAAAACATAAAGTAAAATATTATAATGAAATATGCAAAGAATTTGAATTAGACAACAACAAAAAAACACATTTTGAATAACTTAAACTGAAATAACTCATGAGAAAATTAAGCCTTGATTTCAAGACTGAAAGATTCTATGGGCAAAATACTGAATGATGTAAAAAACATCAAAGGAAGGTGGAGAAATATACAGTCACTGTACCAAAAATAACAAGTTGATATCTACCATTTAAGGAGGCAGCAAAGAGCATGAACCAGTGGTGCTGAAGGAAGATGTTCAAGCTGCACTGAAAGTATTAGCCCAGAACAAGGATCCTGGAATTGACAGAATTCCAATGGAAATGTTTCAACAAGTTAATGAAGCACTGGAAAAAACTCACTGTCTATTCCAGGAAATTTGGAAGACAAGCTACTTAGCCAACTGACTGGAAGAAATCGATACCAGTACCCTTTCACCCCTAAAAGGTGACCCAACAGAATTGATATCACATCCAAGTAAGATTTTGCCAAAGATTGTAAAAAAAAACTTGCAGCAGAACATTGAGAAGGAGTTGGCAAGGTTCAGACTGGATTCAGAGGAGGATGAAGAACAAGGGATCTTGCTGAAAACATTGCTGATTTCAGGTAGACCGTGGCTGAAAGTAGAGAACACCAGAAAGATGTTTAATTATGCTTTACTGAATGTGCAAAAGCATTCAATTGCATGGATCATAACAAACTATGAGTAGCCTAAGAATAGTGGGAATTCCAGAACACTTCATTTTGCTCATGTGGAAACTTTTTATGGAGCTAGGGGAAGTTGTGAAATTGAACAAGAGAATACTGCATGGTTCAAAATCAGGAAATGTGTGTGTGTTGTGGCTGTATCCTCTCACCACATTTATTCAATCTGTAGGCTGAGCAAATAATCGGAGAAGCTGGATTATGTAAAGAAGAACTCGGTATCAGGATTAGAGGAAGGCATATGAACAATCTGCTATATGCAGATGACACAACCTTGTTTGCTGAAAATTGCAATGCTGAAGGATTGCAACCTTCAGTATGGATTAAAATTCAATGGAACCCAAATCCTCACATCTGCACAAATATATAACATCATGATAAATGGGAAAATATTGAAGTTATCAAAGATTTCATCTTGCTTGAATCCACAATCCATGTTCATGGAAGCAGCAGTCAAGAGATCAAATGGTGCTTCGCACAAGGTTAAGTCGGTTTTTTAAAACCTCTTTAAAGTGTTGAAAAGAAAGGATGTTACTGTGAGGACTAAGGTGCTCATGACACAAGCCTTTTCAATTGCCTCCTGTGCATGTGAAAGTTGGACATTGAATAAGAAAGAATTGTGGTGATGAGAAATAATATTGAAAGCACCATAGACTGCCAAAAGTTGTAACATATCTGTCTTGAAAGAAGTATAGTGAGAATGATCCTTAGAGGCAAGGATGGTGAAACTTTGCATTACATAATTTAGACATGTGATTAGGAGATATTAGTTCCTGGGGCAAGATATTATGCTTGGTAATGTAGAGGAGCAGTGAAAAAGAGGAAGGCTCTTAATGTGATGGATTGCAATCGTGGTTCTACCCAGGGGCTCAGATACAAGAACAATTGTGAGAATGGCACAGGACAAGGCGGTGCTTAGTTGTTATTTGTGCATAGGACCACTATGGGTCGGAACTGACTGCACAGCACATTACAGCAACAACAACAACAATGGCAACTGTGAAAAAATACCATACTTCTGTTTTTTAAACCTCTCTGCAGTTTAACAACAATAACAATGATATTTGTGTAAAAAAATGACAAACTTCTGTTTTTTAAACCTCTCTGCAGTTTTTGTCCTACACAAATTTCAAAAAAATACCTAAATCCTTTCCAATATCATTTTCTAAAGAATATTGGAATAAGATATTTTGAAAGTAATAGCATTATTATAGGAAAGCTTAAGAAGTTTTATGAAGCAGCTCCAAGCAAAACATTTAAATATGAAAAATTACAGACATAATTCCATAAAAATCATAAAATTCAAGGGGCTAAAATCCAGAAAAGTACAGTAATAATGAAGTCATAATTTAAAATGAAAAATTTTGGCATTCTATTTCCTTTAGATTTTCAAAAGCTTCTTTGCAAGTAATTTCTTAAACATCATGTGAGTATCAGCCAACTGTTAGCATTCTTGCTCCCCAAGAATAAGCACCATTTAGTCTCTGAGCTCTGCTAGGCTCAAGTGTTCCTTATGCATCTAATTGTACCCCTTAAATTTCCATAATCATTCTCATCTATCTCAAATAAAAAGCTAGTAAGAGAACAAAAGCATGATGTTTTGCTTTTCCCCTATGAAGTACAGTTCAAAATACTTCACATGTCCTACAAATCAAAGAGTTATTCAATATACTTTTCTACTGATTTTCACAAACTATCAGAATAATCAGAAGGTTTATGCTTTTAAGAAAGATATAAAGCATTGTAAAAATATAAAATTTTTATTTACCGACACCTTCATGATAGCTGGAAAGTTCAGGATAGAGCCTATATTCATTTCTGTCACCTGCAAAAAGAAAGTGGGAATAAATAAAACTTTTTTCTTTTTGGAATAAATAAAACTTTTGAGCACAGAGTATATAATAGACACAAAGACACTAAGTCATGCACTTGTTAAAAAATAGTTTAAATCACTCAATTTGAGAGCAATAGAATTGCTTGATCATGCTTTAAATATAGAAGTATGCCTTAATAAACCCAGAAAATACACTAAGTATAGGGCAGATGACAAATATAAAGAATATATATATATATATATATATATATATATACACACAAAAATGCAACCTATAATTCAAGGACTTTTAAGGACACATGTATGGAAAACACAGAAACATCCATTAAAAAAAATTATTAATGACCTTATTTTAAAAGAAAAAACACAAATTTTAAGTCAATGGTTTTCTAAACAGTTTTGCTTAAAATTAATATAATTTTTCAACTTCACAAATTCAATTGTAAAGTCATTCCTAAATAATGCAAATGGTAGACCATAGAGCTACCAAGCAAAGAGTTGTTGCTATTAGTCCTGATCCACAGAGACCTGTGTACAACAAAACAAAACACTGCCAGGTCCCACGCCCTCTTCACAAATGTTTCCTGTTTGAGCCCACTGTTGTAGCAACTCTGTCAGCCATCTCATCGAGAGCCTTCCTCTTTTTCACTGCCCCTCTACATTACCAAGCATGATGTCTCCCTTCAGGGACTGGTCTCTCCTAAAAACATGGCCAAATGCATGATATAAAATCTTACCATCCTTGTCTCTAAGGGACAGTCTCACTGTACTTCTTCCAAGACAGATCGGTTGGTACATTGGGTAGTCCATTAATGTTTTCCAGAATCATAATTCAAAAGCATCAATTATCCGTGAGTCTTCTTTATTCAATATGGAACTTTCACATGCATAGAAGGCAGTTGAAAATATCGTGGTGTGAGTCAGGTGCACCTCAGTCATCAAAGTAAATTCCTTGCTTTGCAATGTTTTAAAGAGGTGCTGTGAAGCAGATTTAAGTAATGCAAAGCATTGTTTGAGCTCTTGACTGCGGCTTCCAGGAACACTGATTGAGGAGCTGAGCAAAATCAAATCCTCGGCAAATTCAATTCATTCTCCCTTTAACATGATGTTACCTATTGGTCCAGTTGTGAGGATTTGGGTCTTCATCACATCGAGCTCAAATCCATATGGAAGGCTGTAATCCTCGATCTTCAGCAGCAAGTGCTTCAATTCCTCCTCACTTTGAGCAAACAAGATTGTTAATATACCTTCTTCCAATCCTGGTACCAAGTTCTTCATATAATGCAGCTTCTCTGATGGTTTACTCAGCATGCAGATTGAATAAGTGTGGTGAGAGGATACAACCACAACACACACCTTTCCTGATTTTAAACCAGGCAGTATTTCCTTGTTCAATTTCACAACTTCCCCTGGCTTCATGAAAAGTTTCTATGTAAGCAAAATGAAGTGTTCTGGAATTCCTATTCTTCTCAAGGTTACTCATGGTTTGTTTATGATCCATGCAATTGATTGCTTTTGCACAGTCAATAAAACCCAAGTAAACATCTTTCTGGTATTCTCTACTTTCAGCCAAGATCTATCTAATGTCAGCAGTGTCCTCAGCAACATTCCTCGTTCTGCTTCCTCTTTTGAATCCAGTCTGAACCTCTGGCAGGTCCCTCTCAATGAACTGCTGTAATCGTTGTTGGGTGATCTTCTGCAAAATTTTACTTGCATGTGATATCAATGATATTGTTCTATAATTTTCACATTCTGTTGGATCATCTTTCTTTGGGGAGGGTATAAATACAGATCTCTTCCAGTCAGTTGGCCAAGTAGCTGTCTTCCAAATTCCTTGGTATAGAGAGTAAGTACTTCTAGTGCTTCATTAGCTTGTTGAAACATTTCAATTGTTGTTCCATCACTTCTAGAGCCTTGATTTGGACTAATGCTTTCAGTGCAGTTTGAACTTCTTCCTTCAGCACCATTGATTCTTGCTCATGTGCTACCTCTAGAAAGGGTCAAATATCGACTAGTTCTTTTTGGTATTTTCACTATATATTCTCTCCATCTTTTGAGGTTTCTTACATCATTGAATATTCTGCCTATAGAATGTTTCAATATCACAACTCAAGACTTGAATGTTTTCTTTCCTTCTTTCAAGTTAAGAAATGCTGAGGAGTTCCTTTCTTCTGGAAGACCAGAGTAAAGGTTAAAGGGTAAGCTTAGCCAGTGTGAATCTATCCAGAGGCACCTGGAAAGAAAGGCCTGGTCAAAAGGCAAAGCCATTGAAAAGCTTTGGGGCACAGGTCTCTGCCAGAAGTCAGAACAGACTCAATGGGAAGTTTTCTTTTGGATATAACTTTAATAAGAATTTGAATAGTATTAAGGGATATACGTATTAACCTATTTCAAATATTAATTACTTAAGTTAAGTACCAAATCTCTCTAAAATAATCTATATCCTTTCTCACTGGCATGAGTTAATTTCAACTCATAGCGACCCTATCAGACAGGGTAGAACTGCACTGCGAGTTTCTGAGACACTTTGTGGCAGCACAAAGCCCTCTCTTTCTCCTGTGGAGTGTCTCATGGTTTCAGACTGCAGAACCTGTGGCTCGCAGCATAGTACATTAGCATGCCAATAAGGCTCCATCGATCCACTCTACTAATCTGAAACCTGACATTCATGAAATAATATCAAAAATCCCTTTTTAACTAATATAAAATTATATAACATTCATTTTTAACCTGAAAATCATACTTGCATTCCTCTTGCCCCCAAAGATGCTCAAATATTATATTAATATTACATTTTTAAAATTACATTTTTATAGGTAATAGTTTGCTGTAATCTTTGTATATAAATTTAGCTTTTGCATTTTAAGTAGGCACATATCTATTAAAAATTTTTTCGCAATTAAATTACCATTTTAGATTTTATCAATACATAATAAACCATCTTAAATACACTGTATACTTAGTAACTTACTAAGCACAGAAAGCAAGAATTTTTATAAAATACACCTCTTAATATATATGACGTTTTAAAATTAGTTCATGTATTTTTGTTGTAGTTGTTAGCTGCCTTTGAGACAATCTTGATTCATGAAAACTCTGTGCAGAACAGAAGTAGTCCACAGATTTCCCAAATATGTGACTATTAAGAGCGACCTGGACAGGAGCATTGGAAAAAACCGATATAAAATCATGAAGAAGGATGATGAGGAAAACTTTCATGAAGAGAGAAAAATGTTCCTGCCCTCAAAATCACTTTAGTATTATTTTTTTGAATATTTGATTGTGATTTGGGTGAATGCTTACAGAGCATAGTTTCTTGTTCAACACCTCCGAAGCATTTTGTTTTGTGACACTGGTTGCAATGCCCTCAGTGTAATAGCATTCTTCCCACTTCTTTCCTGGAATTTCTGTTTCCACTCACCTACTTTTCCTGCCCTCTTCTGCTTTTTGTTTTCAGGCAAATACTGCCCTTTTGGTCTTAGACTGTTGATTGTTCTGAGAGGCACTCGCCTGAGGGGTGTTATTGTTCACTTCATAGGGCTGGACATTGTCTGGCTAAAACGTCTTCTTCCACAATAGGTTTCATTCTACGTTGGAAGGGTGTCTAAGGGCCACAGTCTGGAGGGTTCCAGCAGTATCTCTCAATCAGTAAGTCCTATGTATTTTTATGATTGTGTTCTATATTTTTTCTCCCACTTTATCCAGAACTTTCTATTGTAATCTAGATCAGAACAGTGGGTTGTAGTTCCCAGGTACCCTCCTGCTCTTCTGGTCTTAGGCTGGTGGAATCTATGATTCATGTAGTCTATCAGTCCTTCACTTTCTCCAGTTTGGGAGTCATCAACAGTTGGATGTTAGAAACCCTGTAATATTTTTACTACTTTTCTTATAAAACTTACCATGCCCTTCTTTCCATTATTGCAGCTAATTTACCACATGTAATTTCTCTCTTACTAGACTGAAATCTCATTAAAGGCAGGTTGTAATACATCTTTGTCCTTCCCAAAGCCATAGCATAGTGTCTCCTCTTTAACAGTCTGCTATTATACAAAAGATCACCTACTTATTGTTTACTTGTTGTTAATCTTTAAAATGTGAAAAGCATAATTCTAAAAGTGATTCTCATGGAAATGAATGATAGGAAGAGAGTTCAGGTCAAGAACTGACTCTTTATAAATTTAGTTTATTTAAGGGGAAAAAAATCTGTCCATGAAATCCCAAGCTCTCAACAATGAACAAAAAAGCTGGTATTCAGAAAAGTAAATCTTTGGGGGATTAGTAAAAATATGTTTATTATGTTCTCATCTTAAGTTAGCAGAATAAAACTATTTGAAAGAAATGACAAGTAAGATATATCATAACTATATAAAGATAAATCTTTTGTCATTGAAAAGGCATCTAAGGAAATGGTGAGGGGAAGCAGGTCTGATCATCTCTGGCCTCAGTAGGGAGAAGGGGAATCCTTTTCTGACATCAATGGTCTCTCTCTATTTCTCTGTAGGTTCAATAATCCACTGCAATGGTCACATAAAACTCACAAATAACACTCATGATTATAGGGGTTTATTAAGGTTTACAGGTTGTAACAAGATATGATCAAAAAAGATGGAAGATACATCCTTTTGTCTACAGCAATGCCTCTTCAGCCTTGCCAGAAGCTATGTTTCTCTTTGGTCCTTGTCTTTCAGCCAGAGGACTTTTTTGGCCTCTTCTCTGCTCAAATGTTACAAAGCTCTTTAGCACTGATGAATGTGCAAAGGGCACTCCACAAGCCAGCCACTCTACCACCTCATGGTTGCATGGTCTTGGTGCTTCTTATTTGCTCTATCTCCTGGTCTCGGTGCTATATCCATGGCATTTCTGTTGTCTTCATTACTTCCTTCAGGGATCTCGTACATGTTGGGTCTTCTTTCTTGAAGGTTGTGTGATCCTTCTGTACAACATTCTGAGATGGCTTACGCCTATACCCAGTGGAATGGTAAAACTGAACTATCCCAATAAAATCCTCTATATGTTATCTGAATGATCCAACCCAGTCATTTGGTGGGAGTTACAAAGATGGTAGAAAGATAAGACAGATATACCAAGTAATTTCAATTAACTGTAGCGTCTTATGAATGAGAAAAGGCATTTCATAAGTTATGGCTACAATGGGAGATTTTCTTACATTCTTAAGAGAAGTCAAATATCTATTTTTGCCTCTTAAGTATTCATTTGATGTTCTATATGACTTTGAAATTTAACAAGTTGATTTTCTATCAATAATATTCTATATTTACTTAATTATACTCATTGAAATTAGAATAAAAATATTTACTTTTAGAACCAGAATTCAGCTGAACTTGTGTTGATGACGGCTGTGGCCTTGACAATGGTTTTGGAGGGATTTCCTTAGCCTGGAAGGAACAAAAATATGATTTCATGTAATTTTAAAACTTGTTTTTGCTTAGGAGCATATAAAGTATTATTTTCTTTTAATGATTATATGGCACAATTGTTTTCCTATGTATTTATTAATCAAGTTGGAAGGCACTTTTAAAATTGAGTTAGAGGACAGGATGCAGACTTAAGAGCTGTGTTCTTCTCATAACTGGAAGCTGACCTTACTCAGGGGCTTCTAAAAGTCTATGCTAGATTGAAGGGAATTTCAAGTCAAATGATGATTAGTTTAGTAATTACCTGGGAGAGGCAGGGATACATGTTAAGACCTTATACTTTAGTTTTCATTGGGTACAACAGGACTCAAGGAAACTTGAAAGGATGTTGGGGAAGTAGAAGAATAATGCACACAAATCTTGTGTACTTAGAACTTTACACACAGGAAGGGTTCAGAATTAGTAACTATTATTGAGATTATCATTATAAAATATTACAAAATATTATAGTTTGAGGGATTTAATTATGGGGAAAATCATCTTTTTCCGTAAGCTTTTTAATAGATAAAATCTCAAGCTTTTATGGTATTTCCATAAGAAAATAATATAAGTAAAATCAAGAGACGATATTATTAGGAATTTGATATCAAGAAACAGACTCATTCTGCATAAAGAAATTTCCTCTGACAATTTAGAGAAACACAAAAAGCAAACATTACAGCAGCCTTTCTCTGTTCTCTTTCTGCTTTTCTTGTATTAATTCGTTGTTCTTCATTCTCATACTTTTCAGTAAAGGAATCCAGAATTTGATAAAGATCTTCTGCTTGAGCTGGCCGTGGTATATCTCCAAATAAAATGTCATAAGCTCGAATATCTTGACAATAAAATCTAATAAAAATATTGAATAGAGGACATTTCTTTAATAGACAACTCTTCAATAATATATGTATACAAACATATTTAACATGTACCATTCTTTAACCATTATCTGTAGCTCATATTCCATAGTTGACCCTAATTCTACCTCTCCAAATCTAATTCTTGAGGCAATCACCATAAAAAGTTTTATATACATTTTCTCTATTAATATACATGGCACATTCACTTCTATCAATGAACATTTATATACTATGTAGAAAATATGAAATGGTAGCAATATTGTGTGTACAAATTTTAAAATTAAAAATCTAAAAAGATGTTTGTGCTTAAATGTATATTTATATGAGCATTTATAGAGAAAGTATTTTTAATCACTTTATTGAGGGCTCTTATAACTCTTATCACAATCCATACATTGATCCATTGTGTCAAGCACATTTGTACATATATTGCCATCATCATTTTCAAAACATTTTCTTTCTACTTGAGTCCTTGGTATCAGCTCACTTCCCTTTCCTTCCTCATGAAACCTTGATAATTTATCATTTTTTTTCCATGTTTTACACTGACGGCTGTCTCCCTTCACCCACTTTTCTGTTGTCCGTCCACCAGGGAGGGGGTTATATGTAGATCATTGTGATTGGTTCCCCCTTCTTACCCCACCTTCCTCTTCTCCGGGTATCGCTACTCTCATTATTGGTCCTGAGGGGTTTATCTGTCATGGGTTCCCTATGTTGTGAGCTCTTATAGACAAAGTATTTATTTATGTACAATTTACGTGTTTCTCACATTAATAAAACCAACAGTAAAAATATATCTCTTGATTTTATGAAATGAAGAAATCAAGAAACATTCCTTTTTCTTTATTCTTCCTACTATTTAGTAATATTCAATGCCATCAAATTCTTGAGTACAATATATGTTAAAATATAATGAAGTTCTCTCTAGTGGTGATGCATGTGTCAGCCACCAGTTATGTCAGTGCTACTAGTCTGGAAATTCATGGAATTTCTTCCAGGTTCTGGAAATAGTTAGGATCACTTTATTTTCTTTCTCTTGGTCTTCATGGATATTTCAGTAGCAAGGTAATGCTTTGGGAAAAAATTAGTCAGATGTTAGTTGAAATTAGAAGGTCCCCTATGTCTCTCTGGGCAGTTTCATAGCTTTTAAAACAAAGTGTGGTCTCTATATGATATGGAGGAAAAACAAAGTCAGAGTGTAATACTAGGAAACCTTTCACAGTGAGTAACATTGATTGACCCGCAAGGTATACTTGGTTGCTCTCTATACATGTTGGAAAAACTCACTTAAAACAATGTATGCAACTGATGTGATATTATGTAGCCATTGATGTAAGCTTATATTTCTTACATAATTATAAGTAAAAAAATAAAATTCATAATTGAATCTATATTATAATAAAAACCGAATATGTGAGAACAAAAGAAAATTATGCTTAGAAAATTGTTTGGGAATAATACACCCAAAAGTAGACAGTGATAGCCTTAAAGATATAGAATCTATTTTCTTTCTCTTGCTTTCATGTTTTTTAAAATTTTCTATGAAAAGTATATATTACTTTTATATTGAAAGAGCACCCAACAAAATATTTGAATAAATAAATGTTCAGAGTTGCATACTGTTGCATTGAAATAATACGCACATATGTACTCTAAACTTTTATATCATTTATATACATTTAATCTGTGCAGTACTTTCTCATCACAACTTCTACACATGAATTAAAATTATTTTGGCTTGAACTTACTTTCGGTTAGTTTCTTTCCTTTCAATCAAATAGCTACCTTCTAGAGATACTCCAGCAAACAGTCCTCTTGATTTACAGTATGTGAAAACAGCAGCAGAGCTTCTTAAAGCAACATTGCCTTCCAAATTCCTATAAAACAGCAGGTAGTACATCACAGAACCCGGAGAGTCACTCAAACTTAAGAAGGCCTTTGTGAATAGCATTGTCCTTTTAATTCAAAATCATGAGTATGTTCTGTACTCACTTCACTTATTTTGATGCTTTATTTCATGTTTACCAATTCAGGAGGCGCTCTAAAGGAAAAGCAGGACACAGCACGGGCGTACTGTATCCTGTAAAATTACTACAGAGAAAGTTAATGCTATAGAATAGTTGTGTCACAAACAAGGCATATTTGTAAATCTCATCTTCTCCAACTGGTTGTTCCTTTTCTAAAACAGAAATATACTTTGACTACTAAAGAATTTGGATTCTTACACTGACTATTTTTATGCACTCTCAAACTAAGAAAATATTTTTAGATGACTTTACTGTGTAACTTCTATAAACAATTTGGGTATAAAATATTTTACACTGCTCAATTAAGTAAAGAATAGCACTTATTTACTAGATAAGGAAAAATACTTTAAACATAAATATAACTCAAGTTTACCTAATTTCATGCTTACTTAATTTTTCATGAATTTATTGGAACAAGTTCTCTCTCTCTCTTCTTTTTCTTTTCTGACCAATGCTGTATTTCATCAGTTAATAAACTGTGACTTGCTTTGGTTCCTTTAAAATTTATGCAAATTGTATGTTCAATTCTAGTAGGTAGGATGGCTTGTTTTTTGAGGTATATTGTTTTTGTGTGTCCCAGTTTCAAATGTTCTACGTCTATTACACTTTTTGCATGCTTTTTGTTTCTTATTTGTAAACTACGTCTACTCCTCTGGGAGTAGGCAAGTATATAAATCATGAATTCCTTGAATTTTTTAGGTTCAAGTTTCCATTTATTGAAGAAAACTATAGTGCATAAGCATTAATGTGTTCTTCTGAGCACTGATTCATGGTCCTCACCTGCCCAAGGGCCCAACTGCCACGGTGAAATTCCCTCCGAGTGTGAGGTTGCCACCTTTTGCAAAGGCTTCCACTGCTCTGTCATAATTCAAAATGATCACCAAATCCGATACCTAAAATGCAGGAATCCATTTATTCAAAGTAGGTATATATAAATAGAATTTAAGACAAATATCAATGTCTACATATGCATCTGTGTGTCCCAGTTTCAAATGTTCTAAGTCTATTACACTTTTTGCATAGATAAAGAATATGAAAAAAGAGCCATACTTTTGAGTTGTGGGTGTTAGCAATCATTGCTGCCAGAGTAGTTAAAATGAATATGTTTTGAGCATTTACTGTGTGCCATGTGCATTTTCCCTTTCAATATTCTCAACATCCTTGTGATGAAGGTGGTGATCCTGAGATTTTAAGAAGTTAAGTAAATTGTCACTAATAATAACTAAAAACAGATCAAACACAGATAGGCAACAGGAATCAAAAGGATTCCTTGACCTCTTTAAACCAAACAATTCAAGAAAGCTGAATCTAAATAATTTAGCACTAGGAATAAGGTCAATGTACTATAAAGTCTAAGGATCATAATGATACTTTGCACATTTATATGCCAGGACAAAGCCATGTACCAACAACTAGTAAATTACATTCTGTAACACTATGGCAGTTCAGAGTACAAAATATCATTAGTAAAATTGCCATCAGTTCTCATTAGTGAAGAAGTAAGTTCAAGGACAAAAAATTAGAACCAAATTCAATTGAATCCTCAAAGATATAAGAAGAAAGCATTTGTTCCTCACACGCACCACCTCAATGATAAAGCTCAAATGGAATAGAAAAAATAGCGTAGGCCATCAAAACGCATGCAGCAGTATGGGCAAGAGCACAGTGCTTGGGGCTCCAAAGACATGCGCTTCAACCATACCTCTATGTCTTCTTACCTGTGTGACTTCGGAGTCTCTAATCTTACTAGATTCAAAATCTGCAAACTGGGATCTACCTTACTGAACAATTGAGATGAACAGACACAGACGTCCTGCGTGCCAGGACAATGGAAGGTAAAATGACATGATGCTAAGAACTTAGTCCCAAATTTGAACATATCTGGGAATGAATTCCAGTTCTGCCACTTTCTTGCTATTTTGGCAAATGACTAAACTACTATAAGGCCCAGCTTCTTCTTTGTAAAACAAATATAACAATAGCAACCATAGTTCAACAGTGATTTTTAGAATGAATTGAAATCCTTGGCAAAGCCCGGCACATAGTAAACTCACACAGCATTAGCCATTGTTACTATTACATAGTAAGTCATCAGTCACAGTAACTACATGTATTTCAATATAAACATGTGAAGGCCAACCAGATCAATATCAAAGACTTAAGAATGTACAGGAGTGGTGGTGGCATTGTCAGGTAGGTCTTAGATTTCTAACCACGTGGTCAGCGGCTCACACCCATCAGCTGTTCCTTGGCAGAAAGATCAGCCGATCTCTTCCAATGAAGCCCGGCAGCACTGGGAATGCTTGTCTAGGGTCACTAGGAGTTGGAATCCACTCGGTGGCAGTGGTTTGTTTGCTTTTGGTCTTAATTTATATAGCTCTTTAAATTTCTCTTACCTGTCTTGCATCTGACTTACAGACAGATTATAGTATTACCAAATAAGACAATACTTGAAAGGACCTAACAAAAATCTTAATACAAGTAGATTTTTAATAATCATTATCAATGATTTAATAAGTTTAAAACATTTTATGCTGCTGGTGGTAGAGTGGGGTGGCATGTGAGATGCACAGGACAAACTAAATACATTTTACAGATTACTTCACTGGGACTCCTGCTATAGTTATTTCCATTTTATGTAAGAATTATTCCTGAGAGTCATGACACAGAATTATTTCTCATTACTTATGTGACATAAATAATTTTTTGAAAGATTGTTGTATGTACCCTATAAACATATTTATATAACTTATGTAAGGGTGCTCTGTATAATCATTAATACATACACACTCAGTACATATAATTTTTTAGCATAACCTTGTAGATATTCTAGTTGCTATGTTTTCCTTATTTTTGGTATATCTTGGAACAGTTAGGTAAGGCTTAACAAGGCTTACAAAAAGAAAAAAATCAATCTGTTAATTTTTCTGTCTGATCTTTAGTCAGTTCTTCTGAAATAACAGTCAGATAATCCCATGTTTTCTGGTGATGCTACTATTAGATAAAAAACCAGGTCAAAAGCTTCACAAGGCACTAGGGTTTTTTTCCCCCCACAGTTTTGAATGAAAAGCAAATAAATGTTAGGTAGCTAGCATAGGGACTAGAGCATTACGCATGCTCAGAGGTTCAAGCTTCTGGCCAGGAAGGGGTGGTACACCTAGGTGGGCATTACACCCGGATTGGCCCATCTAAACCAGGTGAATTCAATTCAGCCAATGGGGCCGACCAGTATTGTCAATCATGCCTCCCAACAGGGCCCCTGAAAAGCCAGAATCCAGACACTGTGGCCCCTTCTGCTTCTCAAGCTGCTCCTCGGAGGTTGTGCAGCATCTCCTCTGGCCTCAGACTCCAGGTGCGGGGGTGAAGGGCCTGAGGTGCCCATGTAAACCTGAAGTTTCTTCTACCTTTCACAAAACTCACTTGGATCACAATCCAGGCTTCAGCGTGAATTCTTTCTTGTGTGAAGCCAAGGACCGAGGTATCTCTCTCCCACAAGAGATCTAACACAAACATTTCTTGCAAGAAAACTAGGGGATTATAGCAATATATTTGAATAATATGAGAGCCATATAAGATTTAACAAAAACATCTTAAGTTTGCATTTTGACTAACTGTAAATAAGATCCAAATTATTCCATTCCATTCCAATTGGGGGTAGGGGGAGCTATCATGCAGGATAAGGTGGGAGATAAATATTCTCCAGAATAAGAGAACTGGACTTTTTCCCCCCTGCAATTCTATCCCTGGTAGTTACATCTCATCTATAGTGCCATTCCCTATCTCTGTTTGGTGTGTTTTACTGATTTTTATAATGCCAAGTGCCTGAGTCCTTTGTCGTCACTTAATTGTATCCTGTAATAAAAGAGTTTGAATCTATTATTTTCATTTTTGAATGTTGGTAACTTCCAAGGGCCACGAATCTACCTTCTTGCTCTGCCCCAAGTATAAGCCTGCTCAGAAGGGCTAGTTATCCCCTCCTTGGACACGGGTTTGAACCCACACGCCAGCCACACTTCCTCTCTACCATACAAGCTGACCCAACGTCTTGCTCCATTTATTTTAATATCACTAGTAACCAATTATCAGGATTGTTACATTTAAATATATGTTTTCACATTTTAAAGAAAAAGATACTTCAAAATATTAAATTTGAACTTCAGTTAGTCGTATTTAAAAATTGAATAACTGAACTTTCTCCATTTTTAAAGCTATTCTTAAATGTGCTTGGGAATCTACTTAGATCTTCTCAAAAGCTCCATTATTTTTTTCCCCACTTAATCAACTTTATTTGGTTACAAACATAATTGGAATTGAACTTAGATAGGAGGACAAGGTAGAGGTAACTCTCCTAGTATAAAAGAAATATATGATCAAATTCATGATTTTATTATGAACACTTTTTGTGTCCTCATTATTGAGGAATTTTTATAGGTCTGACCTAACAAAAATCACAGAAAGATTATCCTGACATCTTCAAAACTTAAAGAAGCAGTAGATAGAAAGCATCACCCCCCACCAATGACCTCAGCTGGAAGAAGGCTACATTCCAATGCAGGTCCTCAGTGCTGGCACGTGTGCTACTGCTGGGCTTGGAGCCAAGGAAAACCCAGAGATGCCTTCCTCCTCTGGGCAGGGACAGTCACTTCTGCTGAGCCTTCCTCTGTCCTAAGGCAAAGGAACCAGTGCACTGGCACACCTCTTCCAAAAGGTCCTAGTTTCTTGGGCTGCATCAACCCAGGGGAGAATAAAAGGACCTTTTGGCGGTTTGATAGTTTCTAACAGAAAGCCAGCCTTCATATATGGGAAAGTCCCATTTTGTCGGTTATATATATTTTACTAGTACACAACATTGCCAGTCCCAATATGCAAATCAAACCGAAGGCATGAAGGGTTGTCAGTTTTGTCTCTGTGGGGTAAACACACCTCTCATTCCTTATACCAAAGATTGTCATCTCGGGCGTTAAGACTCACAGACCTTATAAGACAAAAAGACTCGTCTCTCTAACAATTTGTACTTTATCAAAATTCCTTCCAGAAAAAATTAAGTCATTTTTCACATATTATAATCATAGATAAAGCAAAGCTGATCAGACCTGGTGACCTTAGGGATTACTCTGATTGATGATAAACAACAAACAATGAGGGACAAATCCAAAGAAAACTAGTGCACCAGGACTTTTCAATAGTTGTTGCCTTGAAAAGAACATTTTAACAGTGTTTAAACCGAGGCAGGTTTTACTGGTGTCTTTCTGTAAACCACAGACTTTCACATCTCCCCATAATCACAACTCTCTTTTTTTCTCCATTATTTCTTTCCCTATAATAATAACTTCCTGTCTCTTCTAACTCTATTCTTACCTAGTTGCATATATTCATTCACTGATTTAGAGAATTAGTTAGTACCTATAATAATGCAGGGGCTAGGGAGTTAGAGATATACTTGCCCTTTAGAATCTGTGAATCTAAAGGTAGAGACTGAAAATCACAAAACATCCCAGTGCTAACCTTAGGGTTACAGTGGATCATTTTCCCTTAAACCCAAGTATAAGTCTCAAAATTTCAGAATAACCCTTAATTAAATGTAACCACTACTCAATGCAACAAACTAGTATCCTGAGATCTCCACTGCTGTTAAGCAACATCTTTTTTATTCTGGATTATCATCAATTATATAAGTAAATAACATTACAAATGCAAAGTTAAGATTCAAGCCTTTCTATACCAGGATTCCCCGAGGAAAGTAAGTTCTAATCCCCTAAAGCACTCAATGCAAGGAATACATTAACTATTCTGAATGATGGTGAAAAAATTGACAAGTGCTCAAACAGTTTACGGTGGGAGGAACCTGAAGAAAATATTGAAGAGAAATTCTCGGAAGAAAAGACTGACCAAA